CGAGTCTCCCAGCTGCATCCTATAGGCTTGAATCACCATAGTGCCACGAGCTAAGGCTCTTGGTGAGTTTAAGGTTTTGTTCATGCAGACAGAAAAAGTTTTAAAGATACACGGTAAAGCAGGTTCAGATGGAAAAAACCCACTAAACAGGTTGCAGTGTGTTTAACAATGTGTGTAGGCTTAAGAAAGGAAAAAAAGGGTGTATATATATATGTATAGTCATAGAAAATAGTTAAAAATAATAAAGTCTTTAAAGAAAGAGTAAAGTAATATAAAGGAAAATCGCCACATGGAGATGGAAAATGCATTGGGAGTCTGGATCCTGAGTGTTTTTGTGTTGATTTTGAATTTTTGGTTGCCGCTGAATGAATGATAGTTGCTGAGAGACACTGGGTTATGGAAACTGCTAAATTAAACCAACTCATATATTCTAAAAATGCCTTAACTTCAAAATGTAAGTCAAAAATGCATTATTTTGGGAGACAATCTATATTTTTTATTTCCACAGGAAGGGAAAGACCTTAGCTCTTCCAGATTAATAGAGATCAGATTTGACTGAGGGAGAACTCCTGAGTATCTTGGCTACAGACATGGGGAGGAAGCCAAGAAAGACTACAGGACAGGTGACATGTAAGCTGATTCTTTGACATGGGAACAGCTTTGAGATGCAATAAAATATGATCATCCTGTTGGCTACAGGGTCCTCATGACTTACTATTACATGCTGTCCTTTCATATGGCAAGATAGAGATTTGTATTACAGTTTGATTATACAGCCCAAATGGACTTATAAAGTTGACAGATGCCTTTTACCTACTCAAGCATAGAACAAAAAATCGTCTTAAGCTGACTTATGCATACCAGACATTCCATGTTTGTGTTAATGGAGGTATGTATGTTACTTTTGAAAGCTTATGTGTTTTCAGAACATGAGGAGCAGACATAAATGAACATGGATGGCCTAGGTGATCCAGCCTCTCAGAGCATCTCTGTTAAAGTTTCCTCAGAGTTCTACATCCAGGGAAATATAGTGGAATAATCTTTTCGTACACTGTGAAGATGTGTTGCTTCATTGGTTTAATAAAGGGCTAACTTGACCAATAGCTAGGCAGGAAGAGCCAGACTGAGAGAACTCTGGGAAGAAGGGTGGAGCCACCAGTCAGATGCAGAGGGAGCAGGATGTGTAGATGTGGTAAAAAGCTGTGAGCCATGTGGCAGCAGTACATTAGTATAAATGGGTTAGTTTGAGTCATAATAGCCAGTTAGAAACTAAGCTATGGGCAGAGCTCTTATAATTAGTAATAAGTCTCTGTGTGGTTATTTGGGAGCTGGCTGGTGGGACAGAAATTTCCGTCTACAGTAGGGTATCGTGGGGTTGGTCTCATCTGGTTGGTTGAAGGGCTTTTTCAGTAAAGCTGGGTGTGTGAGATGTGTTAGCGCCTTTTTGCACCACTGTGACCAGATACCTCAAAGAAACAACTTACGTGAGGAAAGATCTGTTTTTGTTTGTCCTCATATGCTCAGTCAAGCGTCATAGTGGTGGGAGTGTGGGCAAGAGGCTATTTGTTTCTTGACAGATGGGAGGTAGACTTTCCTGTTTTCAGAACTCAAGTTTCGCTGGACGATGGACGCACCTGGTCACTGAGTGGACGAGGCTGGCACAGTCGTGGGGTGCCATGATGGGTAGGGTGGGGACAGTCACAGAAGAGAAGGTGGGTGGCATGCTGGAGGCCGTGGGATAAACACAGAAGGGAGGACACTGAAAGACCTGCGTGTGCAGAGATTGAGGCACGGGCGTGGTGCTGGGCCGCCATGGTCAGTGCTGCGTCCGAGGGGAGGGGAGCTGGGAATCAGCCAGCATGCATGGTTTTGTAAGGACTTGTGTGACTGTGTCATGTATGGTCCCTGTGCTGTGGCTAGTACATGTGATACCACTGTGATACCCATGTGGACATGTCTCTCTGTGTGTTCTGAGACTCCAGTCTTCATGTGGTTTATGTGTGTGTGTTGTCATGTGTTTATGCAAATGTTACTTTTCATGCAAGCCAGTGACCTGGTGCTGCAATTGGTGTTTGTGTCATGTGACAGTCCCCAGGTTGTGGCCGAAGGCAAGTTGGTCAGTTGCCAGTTTCTGTATGGGCAGTCATGGCTACTGCCTCTGGCTAGCACAGACACTCTGTCTCCTCGAGGCTGTGCCTGTTAGGAGCTGTAATTGATGTCCTCTATAGAAGCCCTGCCTACATGTCATAAAAGCCACATCATAGATGTCCACCATGAGCATCAATGTGGAGATATCTCACCCACACATACACATGTGCTTATCGCAGTATGAACGTCACACATACATGTCACACCACAGAGGTCAGGGCAGGACTCAGATCATCACATCAGGGACGCGTCCAGGAAAACCCAGCTTTAAGTCAGTTGGTCTCAGAGCTGGAGGTTCGGAAGACCTGTCCCATGTTTGGGGTGTTTGTGTTTATATGTTTATAGCACTGATGGAGGTGTAAGGGTTCAGCAGGACAGGACCCTTCCTGGCGTGGGAACCCCTGGGTGGGGTCTAAAGTGCTGTGGGGGCACCGGGAGGAGTAGCGGGACTATGTTAGAGCCAAAACACACGCAGATGTGAGGGAGGTCCTTGGGGTAGGGGGTCTGCCCTTCCTGAGATCATCTCCCAATAAGAAGTTGAGGCAGGGCTGGAGAAATGGCTCAGTGGTTAAGAACATTTACTGGTCTTTCGCAGATTCAATTCCCGTCACCCACACGGTGGCTCATGGCCATCTGTAATTCCAGTTCCAGGGGATCTGATGCCTCTTCTCACTTCCATGTGCTTCTGCACGTGCACCGCACACAGACATACACTGGGGCACACTCACATACACATGAGAGTGATAGATAGTCAAAACTGTAAAAAGAGGGTGGGACAGCTGGAGGCCAACACTTGCTCTAGGATAAACAAGTGGAGAAGCAGGGCCAGACCTGGGAGGAAGAGTTGGCACTGGTTAGGTGGTAGAGGCTAAAGAGGAGTGTTGGCACATCTGCCCAACTATGTCCACAGCAGCGTTATTCGTAATAGCCAGAAACCAGAAGCAACCTCGATGCCCCTTAACCCTAAGAATGGATACAGAAAATGTGGTACATTGACACAATGGAGTACTACTCAGCGGGAAAAAACAACAACAATGGAATTGGCAGGCAAATGGATGGAACTAGAAGAAACCATCCTGAAGGAGGTAACCCAGGCTCAGAAAGACAAACACGGTATATACTCTCTCATAAGTGGATTTTAGACATAGAGCAAAGGACTACAACCCACACCTCCAGAGAAGCTAGGAAACAAGGAGGAATCTAAGAGACATACATGGTCCCCCAGAGGAGGGAAAAGGGACAAGAGCTCCTGAACGAATTGGGAGCATGAGGGGAGGGGAGAAGGGGAGAGGGGAGGAGAACATGAGGGATCAGGAAGGTTGAGTTGGGTGAAGAACAGAGAAAGACAGCAGGGAAAGAGATACCTTAACAGAGAGGGAGCCATTATGGGCTTAACGAGAAATCAGGCACTAGGGAAATCTCCAGGGATCCACAAGGACGACCCCAACTAAGAATCTAAGCAATAGTGGAGAGGCTCCCTTGAATGCCTGTCCCTAGCAGATTTACCCATTTGAAGTTTAAGCCTCCAGGACCTCTGTGCCTACGTTTGCAGACAGGATCTTAAATAGGTGAGTTATAATGAGGGTTAGGGTGTACCTCCTTCAGCCTGACCGTGCACTTAGGAGAAGAAATCAGGACACAGATGCACACAGAGGGATGGTCTGTGAGTGCAGTGAGATATCCACCCTGCCCACACCTGTAGCACCGACCACGCCCACTGGGCGTGGTCAAGGTGTGGATGTGATGGAGAGTGAGTTTTAGGTCTGAGGTGTGAGCAGGTGACTCTCTCTCACTTCCGGTCGGGTCAGGGGAGAGAAGCCTGTGTGGATGCTTAGAGTAGGGAGTTGCTTCTTGTGTAAGTGACTTCTCCCCGAATAAAATTATATTTAACCTACATTGAGGCTGGTCCCCTGAATCTTGATCCGTGCACCCGGATCAAGGACGCACGGAGGAGACAGCCCCGCTGAGAACCCACCCTGTCAACACCCCATCTGGGACTTCTCCTAGGGCTTGAGACAGTAAACATCAGTTATGGAGGCAACGGCATCCCTGTCCTTTGTCCACAGCAGCCTGAGGCCACCGGAGGCACGTGCTTCTCGGCTGGTGTGGGAGGCTTTGCCTGGCCAGCCTGGAGGCCACCCTGGCCTCCCAGCCTGCCCATGGCAGCCTCCAGCTTGGAAGGAACTATCTGAAGGGAGGAGGTGCCCAAGGTCTTGATGGTCTGGAGCCCAGCTCTGATTGACGCACTGGGGGAGGCTTGGGAGGACACAGGACCAGGAGGGAGGTAGAGGGGCCTGCATGGCTCACTGGTCTGCCTAATTGTGCCTTGTTTCTGAATGTCAGGACTGGTCCACACAAGCAGGGCACAGTGAGATACAGAATACTAGAAGAATGTTTTATTGTTGAAAATACCAAAACAACAGCAACACACACACACACACACACACACACACACACACACACACACACACACACACACACACACACAGACCTTAAAGACGTTTACAGTCTCCACAAGAAAAAGGTTGCTAGAGTAGAGGTCCAAGTCTTCTAAGCCTTTCCTAGAAGTCACAGAAGGGCAGGCACCTACTTTTTCTTCCTGTCTGCAGACTCTGACTTCCCACTAACCCTGAGAGATGATGGAGAAGCAGGCACAGGGATACTGTCCCTTGGCCACAGCAGCCCTGGTACCCCAGCTGTGTCTTCCTGGATGCCTGCTCCAACAGGTGTCCTCTCCTGGAAGTGGCCCGGTCTGGACACTGGGCCCGCAGGGTAGACCAGCTGCACCGTGACTCTTCTAATCGGCCCTTCCCATTCCTTCCCTGTTGCTCCCTGGCCTTCTGTTTTTTTGGGGGGGCGTGGTGGGAGGGTTGACTGGAATCTTCTCACCACAGCTCTCTCCTGGCTGATCACCCAGGCAGTACTTGGAGGCCTCTGCACTTGTCCCTGCTAGGCCTTTGCAGAGGCCAGGCGATGCAGTCCTTCTGAGCGTCTTGCCAGAGTGTGGCTGGGATCTCTCTGGAGGTGGCAGTGGCCTTGTCTTGAGGTTTTCGTGGGTTGGATCCTGCGTCTGAGAATCCCGCACGTTGAGTGGATGGCTGGAAGAGGGCCCTGCGAGAGGACTCCCATCCTCAGGAGGCTTGTCCCAACACTTTGAGAGGCACAGGCCGGTTCCTCAGCCTGGAGTCCACAGGCGTTCCAGGAAGGAAGCTGCCCAGCATTGCTGGCGTAAAGGCTACCAGAGTGACCTTCCGAAGTCTCTTCTGGGGCTCCCTGGTCTTCCTAGCAGATGTCTCCTTTCAAGGATTTAAAAACTTTGCTCTTTCTGGGAAACCCCTCTCAGAGGATGGTTGGGTCAGGACAGCTCCGGGGCCTGTCCCCGTGCAGCTGGACTCAGGCAATGTGGGCTCCCAGCTTCTCCTGGGTGGAGATTCTGAGGTCTCAGATGCTCTGGTGCTGGTTTGGAGGGAGACAGTCCTTCTGGCCCCAGCCCGCTAGTTATCTGGTAGCTGCTGTGGAGGTGTTGTCCGGGTCTGGGACAAACCCTGCTGCCCACATGGTCCTCCAAAGGGTCAACAGTCGAGAGTGATGATTCGGAGAGGGGTGGGCTCAGAGGATGGCAGAGTCACAGGGTGGTGTGGATGGACGGGGTTCCGAGGGGGCTACGAAGCTCTCATCATCCCAGAGGAAGTGGCTTAGGCTCCCTGCCCAATCATGTTCCTGTAGTCAGGAGAGATTGCCTGCTTCATCTCTACCACTGAGGAGAAGATCCACTTTACCTGTGGGGAGGTGAGAGTGAGTCAGAGACCACACCCAAGCTCGTGGGTGAAGCAGAGGCCCCTCCCTCCTGTGGCTCCTTGCATACGGGTAGGAAATTGGGGATGGTAAGTGTCCAGGGTGGGGTAGACTAGGAGACAGTGTGGAGACACTGTGGGGGTTGAGATTGGGATGGTGTGGAGTAATAATAATAATAATAATAATAATAATAATAATAATAATAGTAATAATAATGTAATAAGCTTGAAGCCTACTACATTGGGCCACGGTGAGGCTAATAGGGGCATCAAGAGGGGTGGTGTGGTAGTTATCATGGGACAACAAGGGGCATCATGAGGCGTAGCGTGGAACACAAGGAGGTTTCATAAGACAGAATAGGGATAGCTTGAGGCTCACACGGGATGTCACCAGAGACAACATGATAGCGTGGGGGCACTGTGGGGAGTCACCGTGTGCGACGGCAGCACAGGGAATGGTGGGAATGGTGGGAATGGTGTGGGGACAGAGTGGGGGGCAGCAAAGGGACATCATACTGCATCAGGGGAGGAGTGTGGGGGTGCTGGGGGGATGGCGCCCACCTTGAAGAGTGTGACGCACCTTGAAGAGTGTGACGGTGGCGCTGTAGCACACGCTGAGCAGGAAGAGGGTGATGAAGATGGTGATGGTCGTCCAGAGCCCGTCCAGCTCCCCGTCCTGGGCCTCAGGACACCCGTCATCCAGTTCGAGCTCTGCACGGAGAAGGGGCCGTCAGTGTGTGTCCCAACAAGATGGGGCAGAGAGTGATTCCCTACGTGGTAGGTGAGGCTGCATGGGGGCAGGGGAGAAAGGGCCAGCTGGGCTGGACCAGCAGACCCTCCCCGGGGCCAGATCTCCTTTCTGTTCCCTCTAGGGCATCGGCCTCAGTTGCTCTCACCTGTCTCCAAATTTGCCAGACACCAGGGACCTGACAGTAGCCTGGATTGTGCGGGGGCCCTCCTTTTGTTTGGCCCTTCGTTGTGGGAGAAAGTGGCTGGGGCGTAGGGCCTGCGGCCACAGTGGCCGGTAGCTATGCAGCCTGCCTAGCCCTTAGCTCATCCCCTCCTCCTCAGCAGAGCCTGTGCCTGGCCATGCCTGGACTTCAGGGAATTCTACACCGCGAAGCCATCCGGACCACTATGGCTGTGGGCTGTGTAGTTTATGTGGGGTTGCAACATGACCCCGAGGGGCCAGAGACAGACTTGGCTTCAGAGAGCTTGTGCTGAGCGTGCGGAAAGCAGGCGCCCTCAGAAGAGGAGAGATGTGTTTGATTGCACCGGCACAGATGTGGACATTAAGGTGGTGGTTGCGGAGTACCCTGATATATTGCTGGGTGTGGGTGTTGTTCAGTGCACACAGACAAGGTCACAATGTGTTAGGTGCGTGTGTTGTACATGTGCCATACGGACTGGGCGATGATCAGCAGGCTGGATTTAATGGGCCAGGGTTCAGCACGCGTGTGGGTATCTGGTAGTCTCTCTCTCTCTCAGGGCACCATGAGCCATTTGCCTCGGTGCCCTGTGGCGTAGGAGTGCGTGTGCAGTGGGCGGGCAGTGTCCCTGTGGGTGTGCAGACCTAGCCCGTGCAAAGCTGCCTGAGTTGAGTGTAGTGTTGGCAAGGGTCTCTGGCATGCCCCTGGATAGGGAGGAGGGGGAGGGGGACAAGAATAGACTGAGGGAGGTGGGGTTTGGGTGTTTTCTTCCTTGGGGGTTTTCTAGGTGTATTTCTCTGTCTAGCAGCAGCTGGTTAGCGGGAAGGCAAGGAATCGAGACAGCCTAAGGCTAAGCCCTGGCACTCCAGGTCTGGAAGACTCGTGAGCTCCGGGTCTGGAAGTGCAGAAACATCATTCTCTTCCTAAAGACAACTTAGGCATTAAACCCTGGCCAGACCTCTCAGCCCATGACCTTGCCTCTACGTCCCGGAAAGAACCACAGTTTCACAGGGTCCCAGGGCAAGTACTGGGTGCTTTATTTATACAAGGGAAGGGTGGAGGAGGGTGCCAGTGTTGCTTAGGACCTAAGAGCTTTCCGGGTGCTGAGCTCAATTACCCAGAGACCGGGAGATGGCCTTCGTTGTGTGGTGGTTACGCAGAGCCTCATGTAGCACGGAGCAGACGTAGATATTTCCCTGTTCCCAACTGCTCTTGGGCACATTGAGCTTGCTGTACATGAAGTAAGAACCGTCGGTGTCCAAGACAGGCGAGGTGTTCTTGTAGTTCTGCTCTGGTTGCCCATTTTTCTCCCACTCCACATGGACGTCCGCGGGGAAGAAGCCTGTGATCATGCAGGTCAGGCTGACCACCTTCTGGGTCATCTGTTCCGTAGGCGGAGGAAGGGTATATACCTGTGGTATTCGGGCTTGCCCTGTGGGGTTAGAAGTAGGCATGGAGGTCGTTAAGTGGAAAGCTGTTCTGTGTGTATCTCAGGCCCTGTTCTCTGTGTATCTCACACACCTGCCCCATTAACTATGCGTAACTCACCTCTGGGTTTGGAGATGGTTTTCTCAATGGGGCTCGGGAGGGCTTTGTTGTTGACCTTGCATTTGAACTCCTTGCTGCTCAGCCAGTCCTGGTGCTGGATGGGGAGGGAGCTGACCACGCGGTAGGTGCTGTTGAACTGCTGCTGCCGGGGCTGTGTCTCAGCTGTCTTCACTTCTACATTGTTTACAAACCAGTTGAACTGGACGTCTGGTTCATCCTCGCTCACGTCCACCACCACGCACGTGACCTTGGGGGTCAGGGAGATCGTGAGCACATCCTTGGGATTTGGGGGGAAGATGAAGACGGATGGTCCACCCAAGAGGTCAGGAGCTGATAAGAGACGGAAATGGATCAATACCTGGGTCACTCTCCAGTATAGGGACGCTCAGGGTACTTGTCATCCTCCTGGGCCTGGAGCACAAGGCCTAGTGACTTACCTGGACACTTGGGACACAGAGTAGGTAGAGAAGTACATGATCTGGGCTCTGGAGAGAGAAGGTTGGATGTTACTGGGGTTTGGAGGAGAGAAGGCACCAAGCTGGAGAGGGGAGAGTTTGTCTCTGTCATGAGGTTAGGCCAGGAAATGACCCTTGGTGGGTTGAGACCCCAAGGACAGGGATATCTATCTATCCCAGAGGATCACTCCTTGGGTTGGATGGTCATAGGCAGAGGCCTCTGGGAGAGAGGCAGAGACAGGATCTCCCACTGTCCTGGGCTGAGGTCCCCTCCCTGGCGATGGCAGCCCAGCCTGGTTGGTCTAGGTAGGCAAACGCCTCAAGCCCCACCTCTAGTGAACTCCTTCTCCCCTGGCTGTCCTCTCACCGATTTTCTTGTCCACCTTGGTGCTGCTGGCCGGGTGGGCTACATTGCAGGTGACGGTCTGGCTGGGCCAGGTGCTGGAAGGTACAGTCACTGAGCTGCTGAGGGAGTAGAGCCCAGAATGCAGGACCGATGGGAAGGTGTGCACGCCGCTGGTCAGGGCTCCAGAGTTCCAGCTCACGGTCACTGGCTCAGGGAAATAGCCCTTGACCAGGCATCCCAGGGTCACCGTGGTGGAGTCAGGGGTGCCTCCAGGAGCCAGCGGATAGACAGATGGGGCTGTTGTTGTGGCTGCAAGACAGGAGGAAGTGTGAGCTTGTCTGACATGGGTGGGCTCAGATATTTGGAGAGGCCCTGGCCTTAGCTGTTCTCTGAAGACTGTGTCTTCTTGAGTTGCTCTGAGACAATTAGGGTCAGCAGCTTCCACCTGCAGACCGTGGACTCTGACCCTAAAATCTTTTCAGGTCACTTTATTTTATGTGTATGAGTATGTGCACTGTGAGTGAGTGTGTGTGTGTGTGTGTGTGTGTGTGTGTGTGTGTGCGCCTGGTGCCCGTGGAGGTGAGAAGAGAGAGTTGGATAGCCTGAAACTCGAGCTGCAGAGTGTTGTAAGCTGCCATGTGGGTACTGGAACCGAACCGGGGTGCCCCGGAATAGTGGCAAATGTTTCGAACTGCAGAGCCATCTCTCCAGCCCCAGGAGCCTTGACCTTTGCAGGAGCCCCTCTTCAATCTTCCCCTCTTCTGCCAGCTTGGCTCCTCAGTCTGCACTCCTGGTCCCTCTCCGTGCCTTCGGCTCCTCTCTCCCCCTGCTTCCTGAGGACTGCTGCCAGCCCCCTACCCTGCACATTCTGAGTGCAGGAGGCCTTTCCGTTTTTTTGCCTGGCTGGGGGTTCTGCCCCTTGATCTATGCAGCTCAGACCTCAGCTAACCCACCCCCTCCTGTCTTATTCTTTACGCTGTGCTGGGTCCTCCCTGGCAGTGCTCATACCGCCAGGCCCCAGAGAAGTTCCTTTCTTTTCCCAGTAGCTCTTGGAATCGGAGTGTACAACCCATTCTTCAGGAAGGCACCTAGTCTCCCATCCCTTCTGACTCTGGCTCCTCCTCCTCCTCCTCCATTTCTTTTCAATAGCACATTTCTTCTTGCGTATATTAGAACTCGCATTGAACAATGAGTTATGGGTTGCAAAAGAGGACGCACTTTTGCATCTGTCTTCCCTGCCTTTGTTTTTGCGGAACAAAACCACACACAGATGCTATGATTCACTCTTCTTACTCCCAGACCTTTCTGGTTTTCCCTCCACCCTTCTCGAACCCTCCCTTCCGCAACCCCTAGCTCAAGCTCTGACAGCTACCTTACCTCTCTTCTGTGGGTCAATTCCGGGCATAACTGATGCCGCCACAACAGGTTTGACCCTCACACCCTCCCCACCCCCGTACTGCTTCAGGTTGCCATAAGCGCCCAGGATCATAGCTAGGGCCTCTGATACTAGAACTGTAACCCACATGCTCGCACTCCAACCCCCCCATATATCTGGGGGGCCTGCCCCCGGCCCCCCACCAACCCAACTCCTCAGTAGCTTCTTGTGGGTCTTTCATACTCCTGTCTTCTCCAACTCTCCTGTAGCTATGCGGTCTTGTCTCTTTCACCCCGCCCCCTAGGGGAGAGCTACTGGGGCTTGCCTGGGTTCCAGAACTTCCATCTGTCCTACCTAGAGCCTTTGTAGCTCTGCCCTGATCCTCTAAACTCCTGGGGCTGCTCTGGGACCCTGACTTTGATACCCACCATAGCTCGGTGTAAATGCTCAGCCTGCCCCTCACTCCTATCTGCTCCGGGGGTTTTCTTAGTTCTTTATCTCCTGGGTCTCCCTGGACCACCATCAACTCCACCTGCTCCAGACAGCATGAAGCGGCTCAGCTCAGCCCCCCCACACTTCCAACAGACCCAGATATCCTGGAGCTGCTTGACCTGGGTCCCCACACTCCTACTAATCCAGCTCCCCGCTAGCTGCTTGGCTTAGTCCTCCACACGACCACTAGTCCTTACTCATCTGAAGCTGCTTGGCCAGGTTCCTCTCACACAGACATGCCCGAGCTCTCCTGTAGCCATCAGCCTAAAACTCCCATAGGGCCCGGTTTTCCTACAGCTGTTTGAGTTGCTGCTGCAGATTCTCGCCTGCCACAGTCCCTCTGTAGCTGCTTCCTATGTCTTCCCCTACCAGCCCTAGCTCCCCCAGAGCAGCCAGGTCAGGATCCTCACACTCTCACCTGCCCGGACTCCCCCAGAGCAGCCAGGTCAGGACCCTCACACCCTCACCTGCCCGGACTCCCCCAGAGCAGCCAGGTCAGGACCCTCACACCCTCACCTGCCTGGACTCCCCCATAGCAGCCAGGCCTGGTCCCTCACATCCTCACCTGCCCCAATTACCCCAAGTAGCTAAGTCTAGTCAATCGCACCTCCATTTGCTCCAGCTCCCCCATAGTTGCAAGGTCTGGTCATCCACACCCCAACCTGTCCCTGCTCCACCACAGCTGCTATGTCTGGTCTCTTACAACCCACTTAAGCTAGCTCCCCCATTACTCCTAGGTCAGGACCCTCACACCCCAACCTGCCCCAGCTACCCCATAACAGCTAGGTCAGGACCCTCACACCCCAAACCTGCCCCAGCTATCCCATAACAGCTAGGTCAGGACCCTCACACCCCAACCTGCCCCAGCTACCCCATAACAGCTAGGTCAGGACCCTCACACCCCAACCTGCCCCAGCTCCCCCATTACTCCTAGGTCAGGACCCTCACATCCCAACCTGCCCCAGCTACCCCACAGCTGCTAGGTCAGGACCCTCACACCCCAACCTGCCCCAGCTACCCCATAACAGCTAGGTCAGGACCCTCACACCCCAACCTGCCCCAGCTACCCCATAATAGCTAGGTCAGGACCCTCACACCCAAACCTGCCCCAGCTACCCCATAATAGCTAGGTCAGGACCCTCACACCCCAAACCTGCCCCAGCTACCCCATAATAGCTAGGTCAGGACCCTCACACCCCAACCTGCCCCAGCTACCCCATAACAGCTAGGTCAGGACCCTCACACCCCAACCTGCCCCAGCTCCCCCATTACTCCTAGGTCAGGACCCTCACATCCCAACCTGCCCCAGCTACCCCACAGCTGCTAGGTCAGGACCCTGACACCCCAAACCTGCCCCAGCTACCCCATAATAGCTAGGTCAGGACCCTCACACCCCAACCTGCCCCAGCTACCCCATAATAGCTAGGTCAGGACCCTCACACCCAAACCTGCCCCAGCTACCCCATAATAGCTAGGTCAGGACCCTCACACCCCAAACCTGCCCCAGCTACCCCACAGCTGCTAGGTCAGGACCCTCACACCCCAAACCTGCCCCAGCTACCCCATAATAGCTAGGTCAGGACCCTCACACCCCAACCTGCCCCAGCTACCCCACAGCTGCTAGGTCAGGACCCTGACACCCCAAACCTGCCCCAGCTACCCCACAGCTGCTAGGTCAGGACCCTCACACCCCAACCTGTCCCAGCTACCCCATAACAGCTAGGTCAGGACCCTCACACCCCAACGTGCCCCAGCTACCCCATAACAGCTAGGTCAGGACCCTGACACCCCAAACCTGCCCCAGCTACCCCACAGCTGCTAGGTCAGGACCCTCACACCCCAAACCTGCCCCAGCTACCCCATAACAGCTAGGTCAGGACCCTCACACCCCAACCTGCCCCAGCTACCCCATAATAGCTAGGTCAGGACCCTGACACCCCAAACCTGCCCCAGCTACTCCACAGCTGCTAGATCAGGACCCTCACACCCCAACCTGCCCCAGCTACCCCATAATAGCTAGGTCAGGACCTTCACACCCCAAACCTGCCCCAGCTATCCCATAACAGCTAGGTCAGGACCCTCACACCCCAAACCTGCCCCAGCTACCCCATAATAGCTAGGTCAGGACCCAGACACCCCAAACCTGCCCCAGCTACCCCATAATAGCTAGGTCAGGACCCTGACACCCCAACCTGCCCCAGCTACCCCACAGCTGCTAGGTCAGGACCCTGACACCCCAAACCTGCCCCAGCTACCCCATAATAGCTAGGTCAGGACCCTCACACCCCAAACCTGCCCCAGCTACCCCACAGCTGCTAGGTCAGGACCCTCACACCCCAACCTGCCCCAGCTACCCCATAACAGCTAGGTCAGGTCCCTCACACCCCAACGTGCCCCAGCTACCCCATAACAGCTAGGTCAGGACCCTCACACCCCAAACCTGCCCTAGCTATCCCATAACAGCTAGGTCAGGACCCTCACACCCCAACCTGCCCTAGCTATCCCATAATAGCTAGGTCAGGTCCCTCATACCCCAACCTGCCCCAGCTACCCCATAACAGCTAGGTCAGGACCCTCACACCCCAAACCTGCCCCAGCTACCCCATAATAGCTAGGTCAGGACCCTGACACCCCAACCTGCCCCAGCTACCCCATAACAGCTAGGTCAGGTCCCTAACACCCCAAACCTGCCCCAGCTACCCCATAACAGCTAGGTCAGGTACCTAACACCCCAACCTGCCCCAGCTACCCCATAACAGCTAGGTCAGGTACCTAACACCCCAACCTGCCCCAGCTATCCCATAACAGCTAGGTCAGGACCCTCACATCCCAACCTGCCCCAGCTACCCCATAACAGCTAGGTCAGGACCCTCACATCCCAACCTGCCCCAGCTATCCCATAACAGCTAGGTCAGGACCCTCATACCCCAACCTGCCCCAGCTACCCCACAGCTGCTAGGTCAGGACCCTCACACCCCAAACCTGCCCCAGCTACCCCATAACAGCTAGGTCAGGACCCTCACACCCCAACCTGCCCCAGCTACCCCACAGCTGCTAGGTCAGGACCCTGACACCCCAAACCTGCCCCAGCTACCCCATAACAGCTAGGTCAGGACCCTCACACCCCAACCTGCCCCTGCTCTGCTATAGCTTCTCAGATGGGTTCCCAGAGCTCCTGGGCTACTTCCCTCCCTCATTATTTCTGGCTTCCTGCAATTTCTAAACCTCGCCCTCTACTCCTCCAGTAACCTCAGCTTCCCAGCAGCTGTTTGTCCTGCTCCCTGTTCCCTCAGCTGCCCCTGCTCCCCCACCCCTGCTGCGTTTGGTCTTCCACAGTCCACCCTGTCCTGGTTCCCCTCTAGCGGCTCCTGCTGTCGCTCTACCCGGAGCTGCCCAGCCTCATTCCCTTTCTTCCACTTGTTCCATCCCCTCGTTGCTGCTGGACCTGGCGCCATGCTCCCAGCAGCCCCGTCTTCCTCAGGGTGCTTGTTTTGGTCCTTTCTAGCAGCTTTGATTCTCCTGTACCCGCCCAGCCTGGTCCCACAGCTCCTGGGGCCGTCTTGCCAGCTTTGATATACCTTAGGCCTCCTGTAGTTGCTCATCTGGGTCCCCTACACCCCGTGTTATTCCCTGTACTCTCCCTTTTAACTGCTTGGCTCGGTCCCCAGATTGGCTACTGGGGCTACCCTAGACCCCAGCACTTTCCTCTTACGCTCCCTCCCCAGTTACTGCTCTGCCCTGGTCTCTCCCGAGCCCTCAGTACTGTTGCTCCACCCCTTCTGTAGCTGACAATTTGGTCCTCAGAGCTTCTGGGGCTGCCTGTTCCCCGGTTATGTAATTCTCTCCAGTTCCCTTGTAGCTGCTCAGACTGGTCCCCTAAGCTCCCGGGGCTGCTCCGGGACCCAAACTCTGCAATTGTCTCAGTATCCCTATAGATGCTCAGCATGCCCTCCCAGCTACTAACTGCTCTGGATTTCCTGAGAAGGTTTTCCTGGTCCCTGGGGTTGCCCTGGACCCCTTGTTAACCTCACTTGACACAGCTCCCGCCTGCTTCTGCAACCCCTTAGCTCGACTCCCATACCTCTCCTTCAGCTGCCTGGCTTGGTTTTCCTGACTCCCATCAGCCCCAGATTTCCTGTACCTGCCCTCTGAGCATTTGGAGCTATTGTGACTCTTGAGTAGTCTTGCCCTCCAGAGCCCACCTGAAGCTGCGCTGCCTGGTCCCCAGAGGTCCTCTGGCAGGCTCCCTCCTGCCCAACTTACCTTCATTCTTCGTCACTCCTGGAATCTGCTCTCTGATGCTGGACTTGACTCCAGAACCGCTGGGCGTTCCGCTCTTACTCAGGCTCTCTCCATCAGATGTATCAGCCGGATGAGTTCTAAGGACATCCCTTTCCTCCCCATCTTCTCTTTACCCTCTCTCGGTTCTGTAGGCCTCTGTCCTCCCCTTGTCCTCTCCTGGGTTCCCTTTTCCCTGCTGGTTCAGCTGCCTTGGGTCTATTAGCTTCTAGGCCAGGCCAAGCCCACCCCCCAGGTTTCTGGGTCTATGCGGTCAACTCCTTGAGGCTTGCTCTGGTTGTCTGTGGGCTTTCACAGCTTTAGTGGTCTGTGCGTCTGTCCATGGAATCCCTGGAGACTGTCTGGTTGACACCGAGCTTCAGACAGACACCTTTCCTTTGTAATAGATAGGCCACGCCTTCCCGTCCTCCTGTGATCTGCTGTCTGTTAGGAGAGGCCGGCTGCTGTCCCTAGCTGTGGCTTTTTCCAGATGCAGCCTTCTCTGCTGACCACGCTCCCATGTGGGGGCGTGTGAAGCCGAGTGCTGCGCTTCTTGCTTTGGCTCTGGGCTGCTAACGGCTCGGCTCTGAGCTCTGTGTCATTCTCCCAGGATTCACAGTCCTTGCCCCAGAGGTGTGAATGCCACACTTCTCCCAACCCAGCACAGACTAAGAACAGGATTGAAACTTGGTGACACGGGACACTTCCTGAAGTTCCTCTTTCTTCTGGTGGTTTCAGTGTCTGGGGCAGGGAGAGCCAAGGGGGAGTCCAGATATGGTCTAGGTTACATCATGTAGGGGTGGGTGAGGTTGTACTTTTGAGACCCACAGGAGGTGTGAATCCTGGCTGTCACAACCTAGAGCCCCAGGTTGGCTGAGTGATTATGTCTGCTCTTCCTGACCACCTCTTTGGAGAAGCCTCTCACTCAGGTCTGGCACAGCTATAGACCCAGCCTAGGTGGTAACCTCTGCCATTCCCTCTCTCCAGTTAGTGCCGTCTCAGGAGAGGCCAGAAGTATCTGTGCAAGCAGTGGCTCGTGTGGCTCTTGTGGTGGCGAAGAGAAGCAGGGTTCAGAAGTGGCTCTTAGCAGAACTGAGAGGGTATCTGGACAGGAAGGGTCTCCAGGGCTGGAACAACATGGGTTTCATTTCTGGGGTCTCACAGGAAACAGGTATCAGGAGGAGTACTAAGGGTAGCTAACCCTATACTGGGTAGAAGAAAGTCCATTGGGACCAGAGCAGATGCCGGCAGGGTAAGGGTTTGGGGTACAGCAAGACCCTGGGACTAAGAGTAGGGGCCAGGGTTAGAGGGAATAGAGACTGGCCAGGCTCTTTAAGAGTAGGGGTCCATACTCTCCTATAGGACCCAGGACTGCATGGAGAAAAGGGCTCCTCTAGGCCAGACAGCACACTCACCCATCACTCCTTTTTGTTTTCAGCCAGAAATACGGCCCTGTCCATCTAGTCCCCGGTTCCCATGGTGACCCGGGTTGACTTTCCTGAGCCAGTAACTACGTCTTGGAACTCTGGAGCCCTGTCTGGTGGTATGTGCAGCTTTTCACCTTGTAGCTGAAGTTATCTTCTGTCAGTATCTCAGGCAATTATGCTCGCTAGCACCTGAACCAGCCAGACTGCCACCTGCAATGTAACCCATCTGGCCGGCAAGATGAACAAGGGAACTGCTGAGAGGATGTCCTGCAGAGGGCTGGTCCATCGGAAGTCAGGCTTACGTCATCCTCTTCCCTAGATCACCCAGGATGAGCAGCTGTGTGTAGGGATGGGACTTCAGCCCAAAGCACAGGGACTTCTGTGTGTCTCTCTTTGTCCATGGCCCTCCTATTTGGAGAGTAGTTTTCTGGGCTGGGTGTCCATGTCCAGGAGTGGGCGTGGGTCTTGACCTGCCAGCATCATTCAGGAGCGACTGACTTGGCCTGAGCACACGTTAGAACTAAGCTCTCACCCACACCCCTTAGTTCTTTCTCTCCCCCAGATCCCAGGGACACTCAGCGTGTTTTCTTTCTGTAGGACCCAGAGGCCCTGGGTCCAAACCTGTGCCTGAGTGTCTAGGTGAGTCGCCATCCCTTGATCTTAGCTCCTGAGATACACTACAGTAGAAGGTGGCCCAGGTGATGACCGCCCATCTCCTCTCCTCACCAGTTCCTGATCTCCTGATCGGACCGTCATCTTCCCCCTAAAGCACCAGCGTGCACGCACGAGCTCCCTGACTCCCAGGATCACATGTGTGGGGGTGGACGCTAGCCAGGATGACTCCAGGGTCTGTTACAGTGAGCTCATGGGAGAAGCGGAGATGCATAAAGCTCAGACGCAGCCCCCAGAGGAGCGGTGCAACAGCACCTTGTGTGTAGTTAGCATCCTCTTCGTTTCGCATCAGGGCTGGCTGGAGGGGGGGAGGGAACCGTCCGGACACATGGATGCAGGATTTAGACCCAGAAGAACCTGCCCACACTTGCACTGACGTGTGCAGTGGTGTGCACGAACCCACACACAAGCCTCACGTGCTCATATGAGCGCCCTGTGTGACACTCAGACCCAGAGAGACATCAGGCCCTCTCTTGGGCTCCTTTTCAGTGCTCACATTTGGGTCAGCTGAGACAGATACAACCGCACCCCACAACACATGGTCTCTTGTGTCAATCTGTTCCTGGACCTTCCGATAATCTGGTGACAGCCGTGAGGTCGCCCCTGGTGACGGTGCATAAATGTTTTGGGAATGGAGCTCCTTATGGCAAGGTCCTTCAAAAGGTCCCATCTGCCAGGCAAGGACTTGTGGGAGCCCACGCTGCAGACCCAGGAGCTGATCCTAGGGAGCTCATGGGCTTCAGGCCTCTCTGACTTTTGCTGTGCTCTTACAGTCATTTTTTGGCTTTTCAGTTGTGATTATAGCTGAGTTTACTGGGAACAAAAAGCTGATGATTTTTCCAGACGCTTCTATAAAGAAATTAAGCCTCTCTGCAGTCATTTGTAGGAACCGGCTTCTTGGGTTTCCCCTGGCTGCCTTTGCAGTCGTCCTGAGTAAGGGGGAGGAACTCACTAAGGTTAACTAGAAAAGAGTTAACTGTTGGGCCCCAGCCCCATGGGGTCTCTGTGAGTTGCTGGTCAGCCTACAAGTGCAGCTTGTTTTCCAGTCCAAGTGCTTTCTGTTTTCTAGTCCTGGCTTACTGCCCTGGCCTTGACCCTCTGACATCAACATCCAGCAGGAGGAAAACAACGATCTCTTCTACCTGGGTTTTTTTCCACTGTGCTGTAAACTTGTATAAAAAGCTCCTCCCTCCTACAAGAGAGACCTCTTAGCACTTGTAATGAAGACAGACACACACACACACTCTCTCCTGGCAATAAAGGCAGCACATACATTCTACAGTACAAACAGCTGGACGTCTTGTCTCTCCTTTCCTGATACCTTGGAGTGGCTTGTGGTGCGGGCGCAGCAGTTAACTATATTCCAAAGATCTCAAGGACTTGGGAGATGGTTTCTTAAAAGATGACATTAAAAAAAACTTATAGGGACACATAAGGGAAAGGTCAGACATCTCTCTGGTGCCAGGATACGAATGGTTAGATATTTGTTTCAGGTAAAACTTCCAGTTCCCTTGGAAGTAAAAAGTACATGTAGAAACTGCAAGGAAGAACAGAAATTTGGTCCTAACGGAGTTAGATAATCATTACCATTTTGTGAATTTGTAGTGAATAGGATTATAATTGTTGCCCATATAAAAGTGATATACAGATTATTTGGAAATTGACTTATATCTGAAAATAATACCCTGGGTATAGTGTCATATACCCAGCTGGTTACAAAAATATAAAAAAGTATCACATATTAAGGACTAATCATAAGGCTTGAATCTCTTTTTTTGCAACCACATGTTTGTTGCTGGCTAGGGCACAGCGTGAGTGAGATGTGTCTGCTTAGATATAATCATTTGGCTTTCAATATAAAAATTAACGATATGGGGTAAGGATCAATGATGTCAAGGGAACTTGGGAGAGGAAAAAAATAAAATGAGTAAATATTGATGATTCTTGGGAAACGATTAGAGAGAAATATAATGAGAATGCTCATGCTTGGATGCATTAGAACTTATATAAGTAACAATGGCTTCAGTTAACCGACGTCATCTGTTTAAAGGACAACTGAGGTCGGTCAGATCCTTCTTTTTTTTTGCAAGCTCACATCTCCGTCCTGTGGCTCAGAACCCTTCTGGAGCTGGACTCCAGCAATAATCCCCTGCCCACATAACTGAGTGGTGTGGTTCACTCCCCGGTGTGGACCTTCTCTGAGGCCCAGGCTCTGCCACCATCGCTTTGCCTTTCTGGGCTTGGGAACAGTCAGAGAGGGTCAGGGGTCGGGGGGCCCTGACTCAGCCCAGACAGCCCCAGAACTGAGGGGTGTGGCGGATGGGAAGGGGCTTCTACACAGTCCAGGCCGCCATCAGGTCCCGTGTGTCTGGCTGAGTCCAGGGCTTGGGCAGGAGCAGTTGGAGGGACTGATGCTGCTGCTGTCCAGACAGGGCAGGAAGCTGGCCGCAGCGAGCAACTGCTTCCCATCTGTCTCCACACTGTTCCGTTCGCCTCACCCAGCGTCCCACGTTGTCCCGTGCCTTTCATCCTGTTGTCCCCATCCTGTCCTCACAGGATCCCTCACCATCCTCACACTGCTTTCACAGCGTCCCCGTACTGTCTTCATGTTGTCCCTTGTAACCCTCTAGAGAAGTGGTTCTCAACCAACGTGTCATGGCCCCTGGCCGGGGGTGGGGGTGGGGTGGGGGTGGGGTGGGGTCACACATCAGATATCATGCCTATCGGATGTCTACACTGCGGTTCATAACAGCAGCAGGATTACACTTACGAGGTACCAGCGGAGAATGTTTATGGTTGGGGGCCACCACAGCATGGGGAACTGTGTTAAACGGTCAATGCGTTAGGAAGGTTGAGAACCGCTGGCCCACAGTGCTTTTGACACCACAGGTCTCCCTCACGATGTCTTCACAGTGTGCTCAGACCTTCCCACACGATCCCCCCGACTGTCCCGTTCTGCAGACGCCGTCCTCCAGGCTGTCCTCACCGTTTTCACACCCTGCCCACACACTGTCCTCACACCGAAATGTCTGTCACACCATGGTGTTCCTTTGCTGAACCTCTTTCTGTCCCCACAGTCCCTACCTCTAACTTCTCCCTGGTTCCCACTCCATCTGCCGGGCTCCTATATAGAAGGAGCTATGTCTGGTTAATTCACAGAATTAAAGGGCCCTCCCTCAGTGTGGTTTTGGTCCATCACGTACGTATACCCTGAAAGGTGAAGTGGACCTTTTCTGTGGTGGTGGAAAGGAAATGGGTGATTACTTCCAATTATAGGAACATGCCTGGGCAGGGGATCGTTGAGGTGCTCAGGACTTGCCGGGCCACTTAAAATCTCACCCATTCTGCTCATGTGTGATACCTAGGCCACACTTCCTTCTGGACTCAGGGCCCTCTGATATTATAACTCCCTGTGCATCTTCTTCTATGAAACGACCATGGATGTCCATATCCCCACGAAACCTGAACTTTGGGAGCAAGAATATCCCCAGTTCCATGTCTGTGGGTCTGCCCAACTCCTGGTCACTTATAAAGTCACACCAGGTCCTGACCCTTAATGAACCTTTTGACCAGGGTCATATGTGGATTAGGGACTAGGTGGACATCCAAGGTGAGACACAGGACAATCATGTTCCAGAAAGAACCTGTGCTTTGGACCATAATCCTAGAGAGAACAAACACATCACAGTAGACAGAGAACTTAGGGGAGACAAGCCTGTGCTGGAAGGAGACATTTCTATAGGCATCTCTTTTTCCCACAGTTTTCCCTGGTCTAACCGACTCAGATAGACACCATCCAAACGCTGGTCCCCCTTGAAGCGAACTTGCAAACAAGCACAGTCCAGTCATCATGTCTGCCTGACACCACACTAGGCTTTTCCATCTTTCAGAGTCTCAGAGAGGAGTACCCAAGGGTCTTCAGAGAAACAGAACAAGTAAGTGGCAGATGACGGATGGATGACAGGCAGAGGAAGGCATAAACAGTAGATGACAGATACAGAGGATGATGAAATGGAGATGACAGATACAGAGGATGATGAAATGGAGATGACAGGTAGGTGGACAGCAGATGATAGACATAAATGACAGATGATGATACACAAAAATATAGCTCCAGAAGGATGGCTATATAGACAGATGGTTATATATACAGACAGAGCGAGGGAGGGACTGAAGACTTTTAAGGGACTGGCTGCACAATTAGTATGGAAATGTGAGTGGTACGTTTGATATATCTGGGACAAGGATGGAAACTGAGGCAGGAGCTGATGTTGGCAAGATTCTTCCTTCTCAGTTGAGATGGTTCATTTGACTGTCACCTTGACTGGGTTACGTGATGGCATTTCTCTGGTGGTGTCTGTGCAGGACTTCCCAGAGATGATTAGGTCTTGAGAGCTCTGAACTCATCAGTGGGTCACCCATCGTGGAAGGATTCAGAACAGGATGCCATTATTGGGAGGTGGTGATGGTGCGAGGAGAGTCTGACGGAGAAAGAACATTACTTGGGGCATGCAGTTGGGACTATATTGAAACGATCCATTTTCCTGTCTTGGGTTCTTGTCCACCCGAGAAGAATGAAACTTGGAAGATATTGAAGGAAAACAAGGGTAGCCTTATTTTCTATGCAGGACAAACAATTCAAATGAGAAAGCAAAAATTCTGAGACCATTGGCAGCAGCAGGATGACCCCCAGGAGAGGCCTGTATTCCTGAAGAGCTTCCCGGTACCAACTGAGAGAACTTCAGAAAGGGGTGACAGAACAGAAACTCTCAGAGGGCTTTGGGGGTACCTTCCTGACAGCCTCTCCTTCCTGTCACAGATGCACCAGCTCTCTAAGGCTCTGTCTTTCTGCGACCCAGCAGTGACCATCATCCTTCAGTCTGACCAGCAAACCCCCGATGCTCTCCATTGCCAGGTTCCAGTCTTTCATGGAATTGTCCACCTCCCCACTGGCTTCCCATGGAGGAGGCTCCCAGCTTCAAACCCCAACTGCTGAGCCCAGTTCTGCGTGAGCTGCACAGGTCAGTGTAGTCCTTTCAAAGAATCCATCTGTCATAGCAGCCCATTGCAGAGAAGAAACCAAC